TCCTACATTTTTATAATTGTGCTGGTCATTCAGGACAAAAGCACAGTGTTTATTTACACAAATTAGATTCATTTCTATTTAAACACACATTATTGTTAGTTGTATTGTATAGACCACTGCAGTGCAGTTTAAACCCCTTAAGGACAAATGACATGTGTGACATGTCATGATTCCCTTTTATTCCAGAAGTTTGGTCCTTAAGGGGTTAAAGATGTCCGTATCATACCTTGTAGTGTTAATAGACATCTCGGCTTCCTTCCCTTGGGCTAATTTAAAGGATCAGGTTTATGGTGAATTAAAGACCCACCAGGGACAAAACAGATGGTATATTCTCAGTTAAGGGTGAGCTAAGCTTTACGTACTATGGTTTGGTGACTAACACATTAATTAAATATTACAGTTAGAAATGTGATCTGTCCCTGTTTTAAGATTAAACAAAAACACGGACACCCGTGAAAGAAGTGATAAAACACAACAACTTAACTGAAAGGTACACAGCTTCCCAAGGTTATTTCCCAGCTGATAACCTTATAGCAGAACAGTATAATTGATAGGATATTTGGGATTCTGCTGATGTACCTACAATAGAGGACAAAACATAGTGCAAATATTGCTACACACTATAAAACCACTGATGAAAAGTATGCACTCACATATTCCAAAGAATATAAGCGTATTTAGGGTGCCTCCCCCTAAGTGTAAATGGGGGGGTTATTCTCCATTAATTCTCCCTCCTCAAGTGATAGCCAGTGGGGTATCCAGGTCAGCGAGAAGATCCAAACAACTGCAGCCAAAGGAATACTTCAAAGGCGATTTATTCACTTATAAAATTCAAGAGGTATATAAAAAATACATAAAAACAATATAAGAAAGAGATGCTGGTCCTACGCGTTTCGTCCTTATACAGAAGGACTTCCTCAGGGACCTCTTTCAGCACAAAATTCAATTACCAGAATTACAGAGAATAAAAAACAGCATCCTAAAAACGCTAACACATGAATAACCTTATATAGGGCTAATCCCTTCTAGTCATTGGTGGAATAGTGGGTGTTTTCTCCTCCTTTGACTCCTATTCGTCCAAGATTTCTTTTCTTCAGGTGTGTTCGCTTGATCGGAATGAAAAAAAGCCGGGCTCGTTCCAAATTCAGCCACTTCCGCATACGTCATACGTTACGTTCGCGTCACGTGTTCCGTGATTTATCACATGATCATCATGCGTTCCACATTCGGGAAAAAAATGGACGTGCGTTCCACATAGTGGCAGCCTGGAAACATTGTTTTTCTTTTACCTAATAATTATACACACATAACTGGAAGCAAAAGAACTATTAGGAATCATATGAGAGAATTTAAAGAATTTAAAATGTTATATTAATTGTCCTCTAACAATAAAACACTAAATATTATTCTTATAATGAATGTGTAACAACTTCCTATCCAAGTTGACCATTCATAATATTTATCATAATATTACAAAAAATACATATATCATAGTATTACAAAAAATATATATATAATAGCAATTAATTATGTTTATATATTGACATTAATGTCTAATACACTAACATAATGAACAGAACCAATTAAAGTGCATAATCTTTTTAAAGTGACATAAGTGATATTATACTTATTTGCAAATCTATATTATATTAAGTGACATAAAATTATTATTTATTAGTTATTACATGCTCAATTACATATCCATATTGTGTAAATTAAAACAATTAACCAGTGAATATTATTACTTATTAATTATTGCATACTCAATTACATATCCATATTGTGTAAACTAAAATAATTAACCAATCATATACTCAATGTCATATTCAATTTAAATAAAATGACATGAGTAATATATACTCAATTTCAAGTGTATCTTTATACATTAAAAATTAGTTAGTTCAAAAAACAGACAATATCCATATCCACATTTAATCCCCTTGGGGCAAGAGTGCGTAACCTATGAATCCAACCTATGATTCCCTTTGTGCCAATCGCCTTTCTTTATTACCCCCTCTCCAGTGGGGTTGAATTTGTTCTATCCCTATACAGCGTAGCCCCTTCGAAGAAAACAGGGGACAATTATTACAGTGAAGGGGGACTGAATGAGTATCTAATTTTTTCTTTATATTGTTAATATGTTCCAAAAGTCTCACTTTTAAACATCTCTTTGTGCGACCAACATATTGGCTGCCGCATGGGCACTGAAGCAAATACACAACACAGTCCGAGCGGCAGCCAATCTCTGATTTAATTGAAAACTGTTTCCCTGTAACGGAACTACTGTATGATGTAACCTTGTCTGTATTTACTTGAGAACAGGCTTTACAACTTTTACAACCCTGGAAGCCTTTTATCCATTTTTTAATATTTTTAAATCCATTTTTTAAAGCATAACTGGGTGCTAATAAGTTCTTAAGATTTTGTTTTTTCCTATAGATGATTTTTGGCCTTTTCGACAAATGCTCCCCCAAAATGGGGTCCTCCAACAATATTGGCCAATATTTCTGTAGACTCCTTTTAATTTTTGGATGATCCACATTATATTGTGTAAAAAAAGCTTGTTTGAAGTCTTCCCCCTTTTTCTTGTTGCTAGGGCCATCCATTAAAAACTCGTTTCTACTTCTTTTAGACATCATCTGGATTTCCCTCCTAATTTGCTTCTGGTTGTAACCTTTTTTAACTAATTTATTGGCTACATGTTGGGCCTGTATCTGAAAATCCTTAGTATGGGAACAGTTCCTCCTTGCTCGAGTAAGCTGTCCCTTAGTAATCCCCTTCAACCAAGGCTGATGGTGACAACTACGTTTATGAACATAGCTGTTCCCATCTGTTGGTTTGAAGAAACATTTAGTTTTGATCTCACTTCCCTCACTAAAAAGGGTGAGATCTAAGAAATTAATTTCTCTATGGTCCCATACTGGAGAAAACTTTAAATTATACTCATTTCGATTTAAATGGTTGACAAAAGTCATGAATTCAGAATCCGACCCCTTCCAAATAATAATAACGTCGTCTATATACCGCCGCCATAGGACCAGGTTCTCCACCCAGTCATGACCCAACCATACGCAGAGGTCCTCCCACCTGCGCATGTATATGTTGGCATAACTGGGGGCGAACCTGGTACCCATGGCAGTGCCCACCAGTTGCAAGTAAAACGATTGATCAAAAAGAAAATAATTGTGTTCTAATATGAACTGTATACCCCACAGAATAAAGGATCTGAAACCAATGGAAATATCTCTATCTTGGTTTAGATAGAAAGCAACTGCCTCTAACCCAAGATTATGACTGATAACCGTATACAACGAGGTCACATCCAATGTGGCCCAGCTGTAGTCCTCCTGCCATTCCAGATTTTCAATTTCTTGCAAAAAAGATTTTGTATCCTTTGTATATGACAATGCCATTTGGGCATATTTTTGCAAATAACAATCCAGAAAGGCAGACAGATTTGCCGTAATCGATTCAATGCCACTTATTATTGGACGGCCTAGAGGACTTGTTAAATTCTTATGGATTTTTGGGATAAAATAAAAGATTGGAATAACTGGGTAGGGATTCCAGATATACTCAAAATTACGTTTTGTGATAATATTTTCGTTTCTAGCTTCTTCTAAAAGGGTTTTTAGTTCTCCATTAAAGACCTGAGAGGGATCATTTTTAAGTTTTTTATAAGTTTTACCATCAGCCAAAATATTAGAAGTTTCTTGTCGATAGTATTGCTCTGACATAATGACTATTGCTCCCCCTTTGTCAGCTTCTTTTATAATAATATCCTCCCTTGAGATTAAATTATTTAATGCTAATTGCTCCCCCTTGGTCAAATTTTGTACTTGATCTCCTCCTTTTCTTTTTCTCTTACCTACCCATTTCTCAAAATCTTTTTCAACCAAGTTCTCAAAAGTCTCCAAATGAGACCCTTTACTCTGCACTGGGAAAAACTTAGACTTGGGCTTAAATTTTTTCTGTATATCATTTGGCCCGTTCCCATCTTTATTTTCAAAATCTTTATTTTCAAAAGGGTTGGGGAATTTTAAAAAATGTCTTGTAACTGTCATAGATCTGATGAACTTTTTAAAGTCAATATATAATTGAAAATCGTCCGCCTCTTGATTGGGGGCGAATTTCAATCCCTTCTCTAACAACTGTATCTCCTGTTCTGTTAAACTTGTACCAGATAAATTGACAATCCCCCTTTGTAATTCATCTCCTGATATTTCTAATCTCTCCCTTGGTTTCTTTCCTGATCCTCTGCCCGTTTCCTTTTCTGTGGAGATTCCCTGTATAGATGGGAAAAACGATTGGGATGTTCCCACCTTTTTTCTCGTGGATGGAAATAGTTGGTAATAGTTTTTTCTTTTGGCGCTCTTGCTCTCTCCTGAGAATTTTCATTTTCCCTAGTCTCCAAAGGATTCACTTTTCTATTTTCTTCCTTATTTCTCACAACCTGTGCATGAGTTTCAAAATGTTTTTCAAAATGTTTTTCCCTTCTATATGGGGGTTGTATAATACAATCCGCATCATCAAATTCGTTCCTATCTGTCCTTCCCTTGAAGGATGATTTTTCCCCTCTTCCTGAGTTTTTGTATAATATATCCCTCTCTCTTTCTGAAGGACTTTGTCCAAAAACCTTAGGAGATCTTCCTCTACCTGGGGTTCTTCTCTTAGCCTCAAACGAAGGAAATCTTTTCCTAAAATTATACTGAGATTTCTTATTTCTCTCTGGAGTTGTTCTTCTGAAATTTCTCGATGGAGTTCTAATAAATCTTCTTCTAATATTAGATCTTTCTACTCTTTTTTTTATTTTTAAATTCTTTATTTTATTGTGCTCATAAAATACATAATAGCAGGCAATGCCACAACAGCATGTACCAACCGAGATGTCAACATTTCAAAACAATATTGGGCATTAGTGTACATTGCACATTTTTATGGTTTAGGTTGCAAGTTTATAAACAAAAAACAGTATACATCACTTGTACCCCCCGTGAGTGAGTTAATTAAGTGTAAATCTAGATTTGTGTTAGTCAGGTGGGGGGGGTCCCCCTAGCCCGAGAGCTGTGTATGCGTGTTTGAGGTTGGACTCAACCCATGACTGGTAAAGAAAGACCGGGGAGGGGGGTGGGGGGGAGAAAGGCTACTCCGCCATGGCTGTGAGCAGATTGGTATAGCCTCGTTGAAGTTGTGTCGTGATAGCCTGTGTGTGAACTTGTCGAGTTCTTCTGTGCGGGCGGCCTATTTGTGTGTGACTAGTTCCGTCAGCTGTCTCATGTGTGTGTGGAGCAGCTCTATGTCGTTAAGCACGGATTGTATGTGAGTATGTGTAAAAAAGACAAAAAAGAATTGTAACTGTCAACGAAAATAAAACTTTAAAAAAGTAACTGATAGACCTTCTAGTAGCAGTCTCAAACTATGTGAGGAACGTTCTTGGCGGAATTATAGTGACCCCATAGCTTGGGCTATCCTTAATGCCTCAAGTGGGGTGTCTATTTGGCAATGCCTTCTGGGTCTCCCTCGGGGTGAACTCCCGTACATTCGCCAGGTCAAGCTGGGACAGTCCTGTGCCTTTCGTTGGCGCTGCTGGAATTATGCCCATGGTCGTGAGGAGTGACTCTAGTTCCTGGAAGGTCTGTGCCTTGTGAGTTATCCCGTTATGGGTGAAGATTACTGCTCGTGGTGTTCCCCATCGGTAGGGCATCTCTTTGGCTCGGAGGTGCTGCAGGAGGGGTTGCATTGATTTCCTCCAGGTAAGGGTGCTCTTGGTAATATCTGGGAAGATTGTTAGAGTTGTGCCCTCAAACGGCAAAGGTGTCTTGTTACGTAGTGCAGCTAGGAGTGTAGCTTTGTCCGACAGGGATTGAAAGCGCAGTATGAGGTCTGTAGGTGCGGCAGCTGGAGCTCTTGCCGGCTTTGGTAGTCGGAACATCCCGTCTAGTCTCAGGGATTTCATTTGTTTAGGTGGGATTAGGGCTCCCAGGAACCGCCTAATGTAGTGGGGCAGCTCAGAGAGGCCAACTGAGTCGGGTATTCCTCGGATTTTTAAGTTGTACCTCCTCCGCTGATCTTCTAAGGCATCTAGCCGTTCCGTGGTGGCGGTCTGCTGCTTCGACAGATCTGCCATTTGTTGTTCCACTTTGGCTATTCTGGAGTCCTGTGTGCTCGAGCAGGCCTCCAGCCGCGAGATTTTGGACTGGGCTCCTTCTATGGCCTCTCTGTAGTAGGCCATGTCCGCCGCCAGGTCCCTGCGCAGATCAGCCAGCATTTTCTTTAACTGATCCGCTGTGACTGGTTCCCCAGGCGCTTTAGGTGTATTGTAGTGGTCTGGTGTGGGACCGAAGCTCGTTCCCTCCGTGAGGTCTGTATCAAGCTCCTCCGAGGAATATGAGGCAAGGTCGTCCGCCATTTTGGACCATACGGCCTGTTGTGTGTTCCTCAGCATGTCGCCGATGTCTCTGCCGTGAGTGCCTTTCTCAGCTTTTGCCTTTTTAGATTTTCGGCCCATGGTCTGCAGTGAGGCTTAGGAAGCTGTGTGGGTTCTTTTGGATCTGTTTCCGCCGTGAAAAGGGTACTTTTATGTCGCGTTTGAGTCGGAATTCACAAAAGCGTGGCCGCTCCGATGCGCTGCTAGCTCCCAGATCTTTCTACTCTTTTACGAGCAATTTTGTTCTTTATTGAAAAATTGTTATGAACCATATCATCTTTATCCCTTAAATACTTATTATTCTTAGTGTCAGAAATCTTTTCATCTAGATGTTGTAGTCTTTTAAATAAGATCTCTTCCCTTTCTTTAAACTCCACATCTTCTCTATTTCCAATATCTGTCTTATCTAAAAGTTCCAGATCTTCCTCAATCTTCAACTTACTTGCCTTGGAAAAATCCAATAACAATGTCATTAATTGGCAAGAACAGTTGAATAAAATATTATCCCATGTATTTTTTGTAATACTATGATATATGTATTTTTTGTAATATTATGATAAATATTATGAATGGTCAACTTGGATAGGAAGTTGTTACACATTCATTATAAGAATAATATTTAGTGTTTTATTGTTAGAGGACAATTAATATAACATTTTAAATTCTTTAAATTCTCTCATATGATTCCTAATAGTTCTTTTGCTTCCAGTTATGTGTGTATAATTATTAGGTAAAAGAAAAACGATGTTTCCAGGCTGCCACTATGTGGAACGCACGTCCATTTTTTCCCCGAATGTGGAACGCATGATGATCATGTGATAAATCACGGAACACGTGACGCGAACGTAACGTATGACGTATGCGGAAGTGGCTGAATTTGGAACAAGCCCGGCTTTTTTTCATTCCGATCAAGCGAACACACCTGAAGAAAAAAAATCTTGGACGAATAGGAGTCAAAGGAGGAGAAAACACCCACTATTCCACCAATGACTAGAAGGGATTAGCCCTATATAAGGTTATTCATGTGTTAGCGTTTTTAGGATGCTGTTTTTTATTCTCTGTAATTCTGGTAATTGAATTTTGTGCTGATATAAGGACGAAACGCGTAGGACCAGCATCTCTTTCTTATATTGTTTTTATGTATTTTTTATATACCTCTTGAATTTTATAAGTGATTAAATCGCCTTTGAAGTATTCCTTTGGCTGCAGTTGTTTGGATCTTCTCGCTGACCTGGATACCCCACTGGCTATCACTTGAGGAGGGAGAATTAAAGGAGAATAACCCCCCCATTTACACTTAGGGGGAGGCACCCTAAATACGCTTATATTCTTTGGAATATGTGAGTGCATACTTTTCATCAGTGGTTTTATAGTGTGTAGCAATATTTGCACTATGTTTTGTCCTCTATTGTAGGTACATCAGCAGAATCCCAAATATCCTATCAATTATCCTGTTTTAAGATTGTTTAGCATTCCATGATTCCTTTTTATCTAACATGTTAAATACAATTATTTCTTTTTAATATTACTTATCTTTATGCAACATTTTTGGAGTAATAGCCCCCTATTCACATTTTGGTTATAGAGTCTGTTGGCAGGGATATAGTTAGGGGTTTAGGCTTAAGTTCAGGGTTGCATAGGGTTAAAGGAAGTAGTTTTAAGTGGGCTTAGGGCTAAGGAGACAAATGGTTAGGGGTCAACTGCAACCGTGATGCTGTATTCTGTAACTCTCAATCGTCAGCCCGGAGACGAGTCTGTCCGAGTTAAAGTCCACAGCATCTTTAAGGCATATACAAACCTTAAATGGAAAAATAGAGGTATTAGATACTGCAGTATCATAAAAAAATAAAATAAAAATAAAATCCCTTCTACACTGAACAAAACGCAACACTTTTGTTTTTGCCCCCATTTTTCATGAGCTGAAGATCTAAGACTTTTTCTATGTACACAAAAGGCCTATTTCTCTCAAATATTGTTCACAAATCTGTCTAAATCTGTGTTAGTGAGCACTTCTCTTTTGCTGAGATAATCCATCCACCTCACAGGTGTGGCATATCAAGATGCTGATTAGACAGCATGATTATTGAACAAGTGTGCCTTAGGATGGCCACAATAAAAGGCCACTCTAAAATGTGTCCAGGGGGGTCCGGAAACCAGTCAGTATCTGGTGTGACCATCATTTACCTCATGCAGTGCAACACATCTCCTTCGCATAGAGTTGATCAAGTTGTTGATTGTGGCTGTGGAATGTTGGTCCACTCCTCTTCAATGCCTGGATGAAGTTGCTGGATATTGGCAGGACCTGGAACACGCTGTCGTATACGCCGATCCAGAGCATCCCAAACATGCTGAACGGGTGACATGTCCGGTGAGTATGCTGGCCATGCAAGAGCTGGGAAGTTTTCAGCTTCCAGGAATTGTGTACAGATCCTCGCAATATGGGGCCATGCATTATCATGCTGCAACATGAGGTTATGGTCGTGGATGAATGGCATAACAATGGGCCTCAGGGTCTTTGGGTTCAGTTCATGAAAAATGGGGGCAAAAACAAAAGTATTGCCTTTATAATTTTGTTTAGTGTACGTAACCGATTCCAGACCACTAAACCTCTCTTATAGTGGGATAAATTCAAACATCCATGCTAAATCAAAAAACAGAACAAGTGCAGACCAGATTATCGAGTGAACATAGGTGCTACCAGATTTAATGGACACTCAAAAAAAATCCCACACAAAAGTTTTAGGTAAGCAGCCCTTTCTCAATGTACTTCAAAAGCCTCTAACATGAATTCACTCTAAGCCTACAAAGAATGCTTATTACGATGGTGTAATATCTATTGTAAAATGGCAACATAGTAGCACATGGAAGCTATTTATGATATGCTACTTGACATTACTGATATTTATACAAACAAATATACTTATATTTTAAATGCTAGCCTATGCATCCGTTGTTTCAAATAAATGTTAAGGGTTTTTTTTTTTGTGTGGTTTTTTTTTTAAGTGAAAAGAACGTGATTGCGAAGAGGTCAAGCATAATATCCTAAGAATGTCTGCTCCAGAGAAAATTACAGTGTCTGGAACCCAGAACTCACACTGAGCGCAGTCTGTTATTATTAGTCTGTTTAATTATACGTCTGCTAACTTTGCTTCGTTATTAAAACATGATTTGTTGTCTGTTTGCCATGCTTTTATTGTCTGTGTTTTTTTTTTGTTTACATCCTCTACCTCTAGGCTTGTACACTGTGGTAGAATGTTGGCGTCAGTGCCACCATCTGCTGTATGGGGTCCAGGTCCCCCTCGTGACCAGATGAGAGTTTATAAGAGTTATTACTAGTACCACTAGTAAAAACAGATTGGTCTACTTATTTTCTTTTTTAGGCAGGAAACAGGGAGCAAGGAGTAGGAGATTATCTAGGTCCTGACTTACCTGCACATTGGAGAGAGCTGGCAATAAGTACCTGATCTGATGATTCTCCCTTCTCTCCCAATTGACCTCCACCAGCAGTCAACCTGTAGGTACATTAAAATAACGCTCAGGTTCTCTAATTATGTGGCCGCCTAACTTGCCTTATAAGAGAGTCTCTGAGGACTGAGGCATAGGGGGAGCACCCGGAGCATTTCTTAACTAGGACTACGGTAAGGGGGCCATGCATCACCGACCAGGTCTTCCTCTCTCTATTTTGCTGGCATCCACAGCAACAGGATCTTTGGATAGCCTGGGGTCAGGGCAGAAAAATGGTAGAGCAGCTTGGGGCCCATTGTGTGGCCGTGGTGCTCACACTTTTGGGGCATCTGATGGGCAGAATCTCTGAGGAGCCCGGTCGAGTACTTATTTGTGCATTGGACACAGTCCGTGTTCTTGCAGTTCAGGTTCAGAGGAATGAGATGGAGCAGAGAAAACTGAAACCTCATCAAACACAACAAGCTCCAGCACCCACTGGACCCCAGAGTAACCACCATCCTGCACCAAAGAGGTGTGGGAACAGGAAGGGTGGCTACGAATATGCATATTGTGACTAATTAATTTGTGTGTGTGTGTGTGTGTGTGTGTGTGTATGTATATGTGTGTATATCTGACTGTGCATATGCATCTGTGTGTGTTTATCACTGTATGTATAACTGTGTGTGTATAAATATATTTATGTGTATTACCCGACAGTGTGTATAAAAGTATCTGTGTGTACATCTGACTGTGTGTATATCTGACTGTGTGTGTATAAATGTATCTGTGTCCAACAAAGGTTGAATGTAATCTTTCAGAGAAATACCTATAGTGGCAGTCCCTAGATGGCTACAAGAGGTTCTTCTTGGGTCCCTGCTGCATAGTGTCCAGGACTGACGTTCAGCATCTCCATGTTCTGCATGGAAGCGTGAACGTTCCTCATAGAGATGCACAGATTCAATGCATCTCTACAAGGAAAAGCTGATTGGTGCACTGCAGCGTTTTGACATGCATGCGCATTAGCTTCAATGCTTTCTTATGGGAAAGCATTGGTTTGACTGAGATTGTACATTTTGATGATCGAACCAAGGAGGGAGAGGGGGGAAGGAGAGAGGGGGTGAGCCCTGGAAATAAGGTAAGCTTTAATTCTTTTTAAGAAGGTTTGGGTGCGGGGCAAGCACCCAAAAAATGTTTTAACACTATAGTGTCAGGAATACATGAATAATTATTTTTTTCTATAGTGTTCCTTTACAATTATTTGTAACAGATTGTGCGGAGTAAAATAATAGTGGCATGATGGTGGTTAATATTTACAGAGTTATTTGCTAAAGTGAGAATTAAAAGTGTATTTAAAGTAAATTTCCAATTCAATGCCTAAGTAATCAAATGGAAGCATAGCTAATTTAGAGATTTCTTTCAATTCGGCTATTTTGGCTTAAATTTGACATCCATTCTGAATTCTGTTAATGTTCTGTAACTGGGATTTAGGACATTAGTGACACCTAGAGCCTTGTTAAGAAAAAGCAGGTTGTTAAGAGAACAAAGCACAAACAGTCCGATGCCCAATGTTTTAAACAGGTAGGAAGGATTTAAACTTGAATCTCTGACCACAACGATTTCAGTTATTTTACATCTACGTTAATTATGCTAATCTCTGCATTTTGATAGCACTATTATTTTGACATAGTAGTTATTGTGCCATTTATTTAAGACACGTATGAAAGTAAGCTTCATTTAGTTAGTTCAGTTAACACTAGTTATGTTAGTAATTTTGTTCTGTACCTTTTCTGATTAAGATATGCAAGATGCTGTCCCTGGCTAGTAACCAGCCATGGGAGAGGGTGTTATTAAAAGCTATAGTCTAAGCACCATAACCACTACAGTGTGCTAAAGTGGACAGGACCACCATCAGGGGTGTACAGCCCATACAGCTATAAGGGGCCTGGTTGCTTATCCCTTTGTATGTTTAAATAAATATATATATATATATATATATAAATAGGTTATGGTGGGGAAAAATTGTGATTGAAAACCCCTTCCACCTGAAGTATGTGGATAGTTAATAGAATGTTAAACAAAAATCTGCACACCGGTCAAGCCATAAGACTTGCTTTTCCCACAGAAATCCCAAATCAGCAGTGATGTTACAACCGCAAAGGATTCTGGGTGGGCATATGCAAATTAGTTTAACAAAGAATCACATTTTTGCCTCATTCCATTTTAAACATGGATTCCTTTTAATTTGTGTTTGCAGTATACAACTGCTTGGAACACAACTTAGGATAAGATGCAAAACCAGTGAACCACTCATGGACAGCTGTTTCGTTGTTAATGAAACTCTTCAGCATGGGGTTGGTTACTGGTTTGCTTATTGAGGCTTGGTAGTGCTTGGGAAGCAAAATATAAATAGGTTATGGTGGGGAAAAATTGTGATTGAAAACCCCTTCCACCTGAAGTATCTTATCCTAAGTTGTGTTCCAAGCAGTTGTATACTGCAAACACAAATTAAAAGGAATCCATGTTTAAAATGGAATGAGGCAAAAATGTGATTCTTTGTTAAACTAATTTGCATATGCCCACCCAGAATCCTTTGCGGTTGTAACATCACTGCTGATTTGGGATTTCTGTGGGAAAAGCAAGTCTTATGGCTTGACTGGTGTGCAGATTTTTGTTTAGCTATATATATATATATATATATATATATATATATACCTACTCCCCCCCAGAGGCGAAACTAGAAACCACTGGCCCCAGTACAAATATTACCCTGCCCCGCCATGTGTCTCAATTCCCGTCAGTCCATACCATGTGCTAATCTCCCCAGCCCGTCCATGTGTCTCAATTCCCCCCTGTCCATTTCATGTGTTTCAATTTCCCCTAGTCCTCCATGTGTCAATTCCCCCCAGTCCCTTCCATGTGTAAATCCCTTCCCCAGTTTCCTTCATGTTTCTCAGTTCCCTCCCATGTCCCTCCATGTTTCTCATTCCCCCTCTCCATGTGTCTCATTCCCCGCTCCATTTCTCTCAATTCCCATAGTCACTTTGATGTGTCAATTTTACCCCAGTCTCTTCCAATTGTCTCCCCCCCAGTCCCTTTCATATGTCTCAATTTCCCTCTAGTCCCTTCTATGTGTATCAATTACCCCCAGTCCCTCCCATGTGCAAATCCTCCCAGTCTATTTCATGTCTCATCTCCCCCCGTCCATCCATCTGTCAGTCCTCCTCAGTCCCTCCATGTGCCAATTTCCCCCCCTGTCCCTACCGTGTGTTAGTTTTTAATCTTACGTTATAGATGTGTCAAATATTCCTTTTTTCTGTTTACGAGTGTAGCGGAGCTGCAATATTAAATTCCATGATCTCCGCTCGTATAGAAGGTAATCCACAGTCAAGCGCTGAAAAGTAAGGCAATATCCCAAATCCCCCAGTAACCGGACGAAACACATTTCTGTGAGTCAACTGAGGTTTTTATTCCAGTATTTAGTTGCTCCAGTATTTATGCAAGTCCCCATGCAAGGGGTTTTCCTACTGACATAGCAGGGGTAATACAGTAGGGGACTACATGGGAGACTTAACATTCTGAGCATTTCTCCCATCAGGCACTGCTGGACGAGAGGGATACTCCCACTGGAATATACCGTTAAGTGGATTATCCCTCCGTGCAGCAGAACTAGCATTTTACATTTAAATGTATAACTTTAACAATATTCAGTTTATTTAAACGAACGGACATTCGGTAGATAGTTGGGGTCTGAGTGCACATATCGTGGGAATACTGCTCAGATCCCAGCTAAAACAACCGAACGCCGCACGAAATACACTTTGCCATTGAGTTTGCCTAAAAGTACCGAACACCGATGGGGAACCATAATAGCGAAAGACCGGAGCTCCCGAACGGTCTGGAAGTCCAGCGGTGTTCGCGCTGTCGAGTAGCCGTTTTCAGTTCCACGCGCTCGACGCCCAAACACCTCTGGGTGAGACAAAGGATCCAAGATGGCCGACTGCTGCGTGGTCTGTAGCGAACGACAGCCACCTAGGAAAGTCTCTAATTACCGATTGCAACATTGTTGCAATCGGTTAATGAGCGCCACACGCCCCTCTATGTGTGGGCTATTAGGGGGTAGCTCATTCGGTTCACAAACAGCCAGTAAAGTCGCTGTTCGTGAAACGAAACACATGAATGCTAGCGGCTTTCGGCTGCTAGCATACGAATTCTATGCACATCACAGTATCAACCAAGGTTACACATACATTACAGCGGTTATTACAGGCAACCTTTTTATACAGATGGTCCAGCATCCTACAAGTGGCCACAAAGAGCATTGCTTGCTTGCTGAAATACAAGTTTAAGTCTGAAACACATTGCCTGTCTGTGCTCATTCACATTTTGAGATGGCAATTCTGGAAGAATTGTGTTAATATGATTACTTGGAATCAGAGGCGTAGCGTGGGGGGTGCAGGGGGGGCCGGCCGCACCGGGCGCAACATCTGGGGGGCGCGCTCAGGGTCGGCCCCCCCATGCTGCAGCCGCCCGAGCGCTCTGTAGAGAGCCTCAGGCGGCTGCAGTTTTGCCCGGGCGGTGCGTCCATGAGGGCGAACCGCACCGCCCGGGCGCAACCTGAGGAGAGGCTGACAGGAGGGAAACGCTCAGCGCTCAGCGCTCCCTCCTGTCACTCCCTCTGTAGTAGCGTGGCCGAGCCCTGCAGCATGATGGTCCAACGGGTACAGAGAGCATCTGTCTCCTGTACCCGGCCGGACTAACAGGAAGTGCACACTCAGTGTGCACTTCCTGTTAGTCCGGCCGGGTACAGGAAACAAAAGCAACCTGTACCCGCGGACCATCATGCTGCAGGGCTCGGCCACGCTACAACAAAGGTGGGGGGGAGGAGAAAGAAATTGGGAGGGAAGGGGGGAGAAGAAATGGGGAGGGTGGGAGAAGAAATTGTCAGTGGAGGGGGTAAGAAGAAATTGGGATGGGAGGGGGGAGAAGAAATTGTCAGGGGAGGGGGTAAGAAGAAATTGTGAGGGGACTGGGGGGAGAAGAAATTGGGAGGGGGGGAGAAGAAATAGTGA